AAACAGTTAAAGCCTATGTGGATGCACCTATCATTGACCAGTGGACATCTGTAATTGGTGAGCGTTTTACTACCTCTGGTCTTCAGCTGCGTGCTCGAAGCTACATGCGCAAAAACGGTCGTATGGTCTGTGCAAGTTGTATGGAAGCGATTCCAGATAATGAAATGGTCAACTCTTCACTTAAATTCGTATTGGTTACTTATTAGTTTTATTAGAGATACACAGCTTATTCGTAACACTTTATTATGTGTTTCATCGAGTTTTTGAAACCTCCTATGGTATCAAGTTTCTGTTTTATGCATTCTTATGTTCATCATGAAGGAAAAGTATTATTATAGTACATCGGAAGTTTCAAATGTTTACTATGCATTTAGTTAGTATGTTATGAATTTTGACCTTACTTCAAAAAATCCACTGCTGTGATTATTAGTTTTTTGAGATAACACGCAAACACTTTGTTAATGCCAACCAGCGAAAACTGCAATCGATTCCCAAAGAAACGAAACGTATAGTGGCTCAGTTACCATCTTCAGAAAAACCGGTCTGTTTTTATGATGCATGTTTTGGCTTTACTGACTGTGCTGCAATAACTTAGCTCGCAGTTACATAGACATCAACAGGCAGAGTCACTGTTGTATTTTAGAGTACTTTTCTATTGGTAGTGGAAGAGGACATTGGAATTTTTAAGGAGGAGGGTAATTAAATGTCATGGTTGTGCATGAATAACTGCATGTTTACGGGAAATATTATATTAGAATATAGTAGGTTCATTAAAACTAACTATGGTTTTTCTAATTTGCTTTTTTCATAAAAATATCTCGGGATGATTAAAGTATTTTTAACCGTTTAACTTCTTGCAACTGCTGGGACGACTAGAATGTTTGGAAAGAGTAGACGTTATGAAGAAAGTTATTGCCTTTTGAAAGAAACATATACATGTCGTTTTAACTTTTCTGCTGCAGTGTGCTTTCTTTCAAAGATTAGATTATTTAGACTTAGTTATTAGTTTCGTGCTTTGACAAAAGATGGAAATTAGTGGAAATAAATATAATGGGATTGAATTTGCTAACTAAAGATAACACGCAGTCATTAGCCAGCACAGCTGACATTAATTTGCTTAAAATGAGGATTCTGTATTTCTTCACTTTAAAAAAAAGATTAGGTATTAGAAACAAAATAAAATTCATTGTAAGAGAATCTTTATGGAGATTTGTGAATATTTTGGGCTCTGCAAACGCTCTAAACCTTCAAGATCTTGTCATTTAGTTAATACTGTCTGATATGCATGTTTCTTTTTGTCCGTTTATCTTGACATATATCGATAGTAGAGATGTTTTGCTCTACATTTTCTTAGATAATTATCAAATGCATGTGTTTTCCATCTAATCTTTTCTTTAGTCCAATATCAGATTCAAGGAAATCCAATAGAATACACCAATTTCCGCTTGTTTGTCGTATTACACTATGCTTTGTGTTCTGTGCTTTGTGTTCTGCAGGTCAACTTATCGCCATTGTAGTTACACTGCTGCACATCGTTTGATTACCCACTGCTTTACATTTCATACGTTGAGAAGCAATCTTTTGTATCACAACACGAAAGTTCCGTAAAGACTGGTTAGTGAGTGTATCTTCGTGGATCAATGGGAACGATAAGGACGCATGTTTCATAAAATAAAACTATTTAGATTCTGTGGAAAAGTAATCATCTTTCCGAAATTTTCATCGTACAGTCTCCAGTTCTTAGGTCGAGAAAAGATACGATGTTGCTGTGGACTGCGTAATTTTTCCAAAAAAAAAAAGAACGAGTTAGTGGCTATTGGTTGATAGATTAACGTTGCAGATAGTTGTTGATGAGGTTGGATATGAATTGTTGGACGAACACTTAAGCGGTGAAACAGCAGATTATTCCTCAGATGCCTCCGTGAGTTCAGCACCATTACGAAGAAGGAATAAGAGGAAAGCATATGTTCCACGTGGTGCTTGTAGCGTCTTGGTTCCTGCGGGAGTGGATTTATTCGAACCAGAATACGACCCTCTTCCCGGGCCTTCAAGTGGTATTTCATTGATAAACTTCATTATCACATTTTCAACTAGAACAATTATAAATGTGCTAGAAATATTTCGACTACAAGCCGTAAAGGTTGAAATATGATGGATTGCAGAATATCATCTAAAGCTATGTGTCTTAAGTTCGTCTCTAATTAATGGTAATTTAATTACAGGCTCAGCGAAAGAGTTGTGCAGCGTTGAACCTTCACATAAACATACTAAGGTATTTGTTGTTTGTTAGATACTGTTTGAACATAAAAGACAACAAAGTTCCATGGCTATTCTTCTGGACATTAACACTAATCATTTTATGGCACATTCCATCATTTGTTATTTTTTTATCTTCTTAATAGTATGAAGCAGTTATTGAAATCTAATGTGTGTTCATCTTGTTGTTTTTTCATCTTCAACATTTATAATTCCTCTCATGAATAATGCTTAAGTAAAAAGCTTCGTTGGGATTTACTGGATAGTGAGGGACTCAAATTTCTTAATGAAAATATGGGCTTGTCTGTTTATGCTATATGCCGATACTTGAACGAACAAGTCGAGTATATGTTTCAGTAACTGTGTTTGTTTACTTAGGTTTCTTTAAGATAGGAAAACAAGTTCTTTAAAAACATCTCTGGTTTGATTTTAATCCATGCTTCATCTTAAATGTGAAATCTTTTACAGTTGTTCTCCTCCACTTCACTTTTCTGCATACGCAGTGAAGTTTTAATTTAAGTTACAATAAGTCATATTGTCAAATCCCAAAATACGCTGGGAGGAAAATAACTAATCATATATTCTTTTAAGTAATGTCTGTGCAAAATAGGAAGAAATGATAAGTTGTTTTAAAAATTGCATATGATTTCAAGGAGACATTTTTACTGAAATAACGATTTATTAGGTCTGTGGGAATGCATTTACTGTGGAAATAGTAAATACAACTACTGTTATCGAGGGATGATAAGTGAGGATATCTTCACTGCATTTATATTTTACTTTTGTGAAATATATCGCAGTTTCATCAGTAAGCTAAACTATTTAAAAATGTACTACATTGATACTTTACCACTGTGATGATCATTTTTAGGAGATGATATGAAAACAAGTTGTGGGAAGTTTGATTTTAAAAAAGCAATGCTCATTCTGAAGTGGCCTAAATTGCCTTCCATAAATGTCTTACCGTACTGAGGACTAGTGGGCTGGGATGGTAAAAATATTTGTTAGTAGTAATTGTGAACCACTCATTGTGCTATAGGGAGAATTTTTTTTATCAAGTGCATTTTTTTTTAAATTAACAAACCAAAAATTTTTATGCTGCTACAACACTTTTTACACTTTTTTGTTTAGAATATCCGTTTAGAATATTTTTCGTGTATCTTTTTTCACAACTGTTTGAGAACCGCTTGCTGCATTCGGTAACGACAAAAAATCGTCGCGCTGGTTCGAACCTAATAAGGAATAATGCATCCAGCGGAACAGTTGGTTTGCTTCCGAACAACAGTCGTGAGCCAACTAAAAATAAAGATGCCCGAAATGTTAGCAGTGGCTCCACTCGTCGATTCAAAAGTGACAAAATTCGAAGGGCTTTTTCAACAGAATATTCAATAAGGAAACCAGTCAGTGATTCGCTACACATGACATTCGTTCGGCAGTCCAATGAACACGATATATGTCCACCGACCGGGTATGTTCTTTATACGGTTTTCACATTTTTATTAATAATTGTTCCGCCGAAATTCTACCCAACGCTTTATTGCTGAAGTATGATTTAAGTGAACAACATGTTGAGATGTGATGAAAATTGACATCATACTCTTAATTATTACTCTATATGCCTTATGTTTTGCTTTCCATGTTTTATTTTAAAACTATTTTGTTCTTAAGTGATTTTTATTTCAGACATCGTTCGCGTCCACCAAGCGTGGATTCTTTTCACCAACAACCATTTGCCATACCTTCTGTTGATCGTTCACTTATTCAGTTTTCTGCTAGCCCTTGTGTTTCTTCTCACCATTCTCCAGAAGTGAAAAAAAAGAGACTTGATGTATTGGAGGAAGTTCGTCTTACTTCAACTAAAGCCGAATCTGGAAGTAATGTAATGAAACGTAGTGATCCATGTCGACCTCCAATTAAAATTGTGTTGAAACCAGTCAAAAAGTGTGAAATGAATCCACCGCTTCGAGCAGAATATGAAGAACGGTATTCCTCATCTCTGAATAATTCCGATGGCGTCAGGCGAGATTCAGTGCATTCGGTGCCTGATCTTCGTTATCCACCAGCTATTGAAAAAGCCGTATTTAAAATTCGTTCTACAATCCCACAGAGACGTTCAGATACTGGATGTCCACCGATGATTAAAGCTACTACAACAGAAGTTAAGGCTGTTAGTTATTTGTCGCATCCATAATTAAAATTCTGTCGTTTGATTAAGCTTCTTTACCAGAGGTCTAGATATAAAATGCTCATTGTTTTGTGATAACACGTATCCATTGTTATATCTATTAACTTAGTAGGCTCTAATTCTCTTAAATGAATTAGTGATCAGCAGTAGTGATTTTTCTTATATTTCTGACTGATATTAGTATTTTAAGATTTCTTGCTTTTATGTAGGATATTTTACGGTTTGAAGAAATGATGGGATTTGACTGTCTAATGTTATTATCTCATATGGTATAATTGTCTAAATGTCGTAATCTTATGTATGAATAAGACACAGTGAGTTTCAGAATTTGATTCACGTAAAATATAAATTTTGCATATCAAGTTATACGCCTAACATTTCCTTTTTGCAGCACCTTGATCATGGAAATGACAGTGGTGAATTTCTTAGTGTGCAAAATTACATCTCTTCAACAGAAAATTTCTCGCATTTGTTAACTGGAAGGCGAGGTGCTCAAGAGATGTGTGAATCAAAAACTGAGATTGCGGACAACATTCTAGCAGTACCGATAGAGAATAATGGCTTTAGCATTGGTGACATTGTATGGGCGAGGAATGGAATGTTCCCGTATTGGCCAGGTCGAATTCACGAATTTGTGAAAGAAAATAAAAAAGGTGGAGCATCCATTGTGTGGTATGGTGATAATACGTACACTCCTTTCATCGAGTTCTCTCGAATCGAAAGATTTGCTGAGTCCTATGAAACAAGGTTTGTGGGAAAATCTATATTACATGTTGACCAAAGTTATTTAGATTCATTCTTTTTTTTTCAACTACTATTAAGGTAGCATATTTATGTGCTTCATTGAGTGCATTCATACTAAATGTTTCAGATTCAATCCCATGCGTCCAGATCTCAAGTACCATAAGGCTGTCGCGAATGCCATCATCTCTTGTCTCCCTAATAGAGGCTATTTTGAAAAAAAATTATCTTCACAAGTCCACGAAGTGCTTATGAAAGAAAAAATTGATCTTGGTGAGGTGAACATCATTACAAAATGTAAGAAAAGGACGTCGAGTGGCTCATCCAGCAGACGAAGGTTGAAATTGATTTTTTCCATGTATAATTTGGAATTGGATTCTTCTTTTCAGACAGGATTTCCGATTGTTTGATTTATCATCTATTTCAGGAAGATTGTTGCTGCGAAAATGGAGATTCAAGAAACTGAAAGAACGGAAATTGTGAAAACTGTAATTCCAACAACAAGGGCGAATGGTGATGGGCCGATTGAGGTCGATCCTCCTTCATCGAGCACTTCCGTCATAACCGTCACTTATAATTCTGATGCTTTAATTACATTAGGAACCGCGAGCAAAGCTTCTATTAATTCGAAAACAAATTCTTTTGACTCGAAAAAATCTCTAAGTGGCAGTGATACTCCATCGTTAGTTATTGCACATGATTCTGACGAACTTTAGAATTTCCTTGGTTAATAATTGGATAGTAGTTTTGATAAAATAACGAGAAAAAGAAAAATTCTAAAGAGTCGAAAAAAATAGATGTGTTTTCAGACAAGATGTTTTCAGGAAATTCCAAATTGGTTAAAGAAAAATTAATAATAATTTATTTTCACTGGTTTATAGAGACGAATGCTAATTCCAACATCCAAATCTCTGCGGTGTATCTCTGTGGTAGTATGTTCTTACCGAGTGTTTTCCAAAGAATTGTCTCTGTCGGCTGATTTCGGTTTGATTCTTTATATCTTATGGATTTGATTTGTTATCAAACGTTTCTATACCATATATTATCCTTGCGAGTTTATGCATCATTTTTTCTCTGAACATGCATGTACTATTTATTTTTAATTTACGACCTGGTTTCGCCAGTAATTTTGCTTTCGTTAAATAAGTTATTCTTATGTATCATAAGGTGACGTTAAAATGTGTAGAAATGGATATTGTTGTTCATGAAGTAAATCATTAGGTATCACTCGTTATGTTTTCTGCGTTTTTACTGTTTCTCTTCAAAACTCAATAAACAATTTAGTTAGCAGAATTAAAACATAAAAGATGAGGGAAGGAGTGCGGCGTTATCAACTTCTGAGTTTCTTTATTGTAACCAGTATTTCATTAGGGATTTGATTTGTTACATTAAAAAAACTTGAATATCTCAAATTTCTTGGATGCATATATCTTTCTTAAATAAAAACCAAAATATGTGGGGAGCGGAGAAGGGAGGAAGAGAGGGTTGGTGATAGCTTAGTAAAATATAGAACGAGGCATTTTGATCATTATCTGAGATGGTAATAAAAAGTAGATGATTTGCTGTTGCATCAAATTCTTTTGTCGTTTTTCTAATTGATGCTGGTGCTTTTTGTAATGTATTTTCGAACTTGAATTAATTTATGTCTTCGTTTATCATGTAGCTCGATGAACTTGGCTGATGTCTTATTGAGCTTTTGTTTGGTTTGTTGATTTGCTTATTTTATTGTTCAATATTGATGGAAACTATAATTAATGTGTTTTAATGATATGTTTTTTATTAACGCAATTTAGTTTTTATGAAAATAAAATTTTTACTTAAATATCTCCATGAGAACAAGGCATTCAATTTTAAAGGAAGATTTTTTGAAAACAAACATAAATTTTTTTTTTCCTTGCTCCGCAGGAAATCAAGAATCCCTCTCCTAGCTTGTTCTTTGTTAATGCTGTGTCTTCAGTTATTCATCCTCAGCTAAGAAAAAGGATACCAAGCCAGAGCCAGTAAATACAGTTGAGACTTTTTCTTAAGGTGGCAGTAGGGTTTTTATTCCAAAGAAATTTCATGGAATTTTCAGAAATTTTCAGGAATTTCATGTTTGATCTGATTAGTGGTTTTTTTTTTTCAGCTATTTGTGAGTTTCCACAACCTAAGACAAGAAAAACTCTCTTCCTCTTCTTTTTTATTCCCCTTTGTGTTTTCTCTTGCTGATCTGTGACTTCTCTCTTTTACTTCGATCTCCTGCAGTTTTGTTATGAATAAGCCTTATCGGTTACATTATCCCTAGCTAGGATCATAATGATATGATATGTATACTCATTTCCATGTTTGAAATAGGCTTATTCTCTGTTAACACAATTAAAAAGGTCTCTCCACCGTGTTTTATTTCAAACTTACCGTAAGCAGGTAAGCTTGAGGGGTAACGTTCTTTTAATATATTAGGATCATTCGTTGCTTGGTCTTTAAGTAAATAATCAATTCTTCTCTTCTCACCCCATCCTGTATTACTTGTCCACTCATTTCATTCACGAGAGTGCAGTAGTGAGGTTCTGTATGTTGTTGTCCTGTCTTCCCTTATAATCCCTTTCTCAACCTCTGCCATCCTCTATTCTCAACAGCTCCAAAAAATCACTTCAAGGAAAAAATTGACTTACAATGAATTTAATATGAGGTATCCTGGAAAGCGAAAACAAAACTGTTAACCATTAGAACTGATGGATTTCCAGTAAAAACAAAAGGACAAATGGATGAAAAGACATAAGCATTCTCATTCACAGTCTTGCTTCATTTTGTAATACTGCTTAGGCGTGTTTACACAGAACTTTAATTTTGAATGGAAACTTTTTTTGCTAATAAAATTGATTCGATACAATGTTACAGTGAAAGATTTTCCTTCCAAGATACTGCAAATCAATCATTACAAATAGTATCCAGTTGGCATTATTTTCCTAATTCAGGCAACTTCTCCCTTCTACTTTGCAGATAATTACTGCAACCTAATGAATAGCCCAAAATAAGATTATTCTGATCAAAATTTTGAATAAGAAAACTGAAAATTTCAAGGTTTTATCTCATGTATATCTCAAATTCTTAAGGAAGGAATGGGATAGGGAGAATAGAGGAAATGAGAATGCAAACAATGAAATGTTCATGTTAATAATTGAAATATAAAGGAAGAGTTCATAAATTCATTGAGTCCTCATTTTCAGTTTACATGAACGAATGTAAATTAGCTCAATACGACTTCTACTGATTGATAATAATCGAAGTGCATCCCACAATATTCTGACGGTATCTTTTGCCTTTTCATATAACGACCAGAAAGAAGATTATAATAAATGGCAGTTTCACATACCTGTTAGTACTAACTATTGTACTAACAGGTATGTGAAAAACTGCACTGGATAATTCCTATTAGTTTATTGGGAATTCTCGTCATCCCATGTTTATCCTAGTCTCATACTTACATCATCCAAATTCTGCAACTACACATAGGAAAGCGTATTTCATGGAAAAATAATTTAAAAGTACGCAGGAGATGAGGCACTGCCGAGTACACCTCTAGTCATGACCATAATAAAGCAGGACCAAGATGTGTGCTCAGTAAGGCTCTCCATTTCCTAGTAACGAATTGTGTATATATCTTCTTCGAATATAGACGGGTAAGTGGATTTGGAATAAAACATCGGTAAACCATTTTGTACTGCTAATTTTTGAAATTTCATTTTGATAATAGCTAAATGATCCTCCTGTTTCTGCAGTACCTATGGGATTCATTCAGTCTGTAATTGTATGCCTATTTAAAACTTCCACCCAGCTTTTCAATAAATGGTCCATAAAGGGAGGAAAAGATTTATGGAAAAGCATATAGTACAGTTTACACAGATGTCATTGGACAAAAGAATGTTGAATGAAAGAAATATATGGATCGGAACTACAACAGGTAGACAGTACTACCATGGACGAAATGAAGAGATACTCGAGAATGGATATTTAATTATTCGATGTGGCCAATATCACAGCTGCAACTATTCTGCGACAGTGAGAATTGAGCCTGGAAATGCTTTCAAATACACGTTTTCCTTGTTCAGAAAAGCTAAGTATTGAGAAAACGTAATACTTGCATTTGCATATATATGTGAAGAGAAAGAGAGAGACTCAGTCAACATTCAGTACAATGTGAGAAGAGACAGACGTTTATGCGTGTAGTGAAAGTGAAAGAATTTTATCATGAAACGTCCTTGAATTAAAATGGGAACTCAATTAGGAAGGCATTTTAGCGTGTTGAGGAGAATAATAGACACACAATGAATGCAGCAATCTTTTTTCCAATGACAAAATGAAACTAGTATCAACAAATAAAAACGAAACATGGGAGCGATGATGGAGGGTGACATTCAGTTTTCCGGGACATACCCATAACTCCGGCAAGGTTAGGACATCCCGATCTTCTAATATTGGAAAGTATGACATGACTCTTATTGCTGCACAATCAAACTCCGTACAATGCAGAGAGAAAGGTGTGCCAATGAAAAACTAAACGACATGAGGAAGAAAGGGGAAGAGGACCTGACCCCGTCGTCATCCTTTATTTCCTCGCGACATAGTATTCCAGCTCATTGCTACCCTCCTTCCCACAGTTCCCCTGACTTCAACTTCTGCGCAGCTGTTTCCAATAAAATTCCAGTCTTATCTTTAGCGTTATCTGCGCTCGATTTTCAAATCTGTCAAATGTTCGTTGCTTATCCATAACAGCAAATACATCTAAAAGTGGTGATATTCCAATTTTTTTACGCTTTAAAAGCTTTCCGTTCTCCAAAATTGAATGGAAAAATCCCCTCAGAACTTTCTTAAAGTTCTTCTGCTGCGAAACCTCATATATCTGAGGAAGCCTAAGCCATAACTACATATATTTCTCAATTGTTGGATTCCCTTGTTGGTCCCAATTCCCTTTTACGATATGACGAGTGATTGGCAAATGATTAGCACTGTTATAAAATGTATGGCAAGCACAAAGTATGCATAACTGGGAGGTAAGTTAAGTTATCAACTTTCATATATTCTAGCAATCACAACCATCAATTAATTGTAATGCATATGACTTGAAGGAAATTCTGGCTTATATTAAATGTTGTTTCGTTCAGCGAAGTGGATTGACTAACTTTTCAGATGGAATGATTTATTCACAATATTATAGAAATATTTAAAGACCTTTTATCTATTTCAATTTCATTTTTTTCCAATGTAAAGAGATAAAAGAGCGAGTAATGACCTAATGTTAGCAAAACAACCGTCTGTTTGGATGAGTATATTTCGATAAAAGAGAAGAATTTCATTTCACTTTAAGAGTAAATAATGAACAAGCCAGGGCTTCATCTATATGTTGTTATTTGGCTTCATCAGTCTGGCAGCAATTAAAAATACCTTATTTATTCATTCCATTTAGCACTGTTATGAGTTAAGCTGGCAGTAATAACAGAAATTAACTGAATTTTCAAAAAAAAGCTGTTGTTTAAATCTTTTAAAAAATCAAATCATTGCAAAATTTTTAGTAGCATCTTTTATAGACAGTACATTCGACGATTATTTTATAGATGTTAGCTGCTGGAAGAAAATAAATGAAAATTCGAGTCTAAAACCAATCCTAATTTATAATTTTTTTGGAACAAAGTAATAAAGTACTGATTTTCACACTGTACAATTTAATCAAAATAAAAAG